CCGCGGCCGCGCCCCCGCCCGGCGCCTCGACCGCCCAGCCGCGGACGCCGCCGGCGGCGATGCGCAGCGCGGCGGCGCGGCTGGCGAGCTGCAGGCCCCAGGCTGCGAGGGCCGTGGGGTTGCCGGTCAACTCAGAGGGCGCCCCGTTGACCGCCGCCAAGTGCAGCAAGAGCTCTTGCAGCCGCCGCTCCCTGTATGCAGATGTGACGAGCACCGGCGAGCGTCGCGACGGCCGTCAGAGGCAGGGGCCCGGCTGAGTGCTAGGCGCGCTGGGACTATGCTGGTGGGTTCGCTGCAAGTGCCGGCCCTTGCTGAAGTCACAAAACACGCGACAGCCGCTGTGGTGCCACAGATGCACGAATCCGGCACTGCGCTGCTCCCACACATACGAACGTGCCGGGGCCCGCCTCGCGCGCGCCGATCCCACACATGCTCACCCCGCCGCCCACCTGCCGTCGTCGGGTGCCCCAGGCAGCGGCGGCGTCAATAGGTGCAGGAGCAGCCCTGGGTCGCGCGCCGCGCGGCAGCGGCCGCAGAGGAAGCTGCCTCGCAGCATGCGAAGCCGCCGCGGCGCGAACGCCAGGCTGGTGGTGGCAGTGAATGCGAGCGGCTGGTCACCATCGTCCTCCTCCCTGGCTGTGGATGATGCCGCTGATGGGGTGCCTCTACGGTCGCACACCTCGCAGGCATTGACGGCGGCGGCCGCCGCCGCTTTGGCCAGCAGCTGCGCCACCTGCTGCCGCTCGGCTTTGCCGCCCGCTGCGGCAGCGAAATCGAGCACGTTGCTGCACGGTATGCACCGAGGGGTTGTATCCAGTGACAACACTGGAAGACGCTCCAAGAGAGTGTCCTGTTCCCCCTGCAAGACCGCGCTCGATGCCATTCTCGGTGAACTCTAGATCCACGGCACCCTTGTGAGTAAATACTTTCTTTTATAAATTCTGACTATCGATCTATCATACCTAAGTACCCACAGTCTGTATATGATACCGGAGGGAAGGGCGTTAGCCGTTGGGCATCCAGCCCTTGTCCAGGTCGCCGGGGCAACATCACTGCTGCCCGCTCTACCCCGCCAGTACGCCCTGCCAGTTCGCCCGCCGGCCAGTACGCAGGTGGGGCTCTGCAGACCAGATAGAGAGGAAACAAACAACGGCACTTCTCTTGAGAGACCGACTCATGATTTCTGAGTAGGAAGTATCAAGCGAAACGCGCACCCCATCATGAGTGCCTTGCAGCGGCGCTCTGGCCGCGCAGTGGTGGGCTGGCTGCTGCGCCCCTGCCTTCCGCCGCACAATAACAGTAATTCTAAGGCTGTTCTGATTGCCCACTGGGTACTAAAAATGCCCAGTACTCAAGCAGCATGTCACCCAACTCCACCCCCAACCAACCATATGGGCTTTCAGCTCTGCAACCCCCCATCTTGCCCTCCGATGCCAGGGTCAATGCTTTGTTTTGCAAATGCTCGGCTGGTGTCCCGGCATCAGGGCTGCCGCCTGTATGTGTCCCGTGCGGCCTACTGAAGCTGCAGGAGCGGGTGCCTGTGAGCCTCGTCGGGTCGATTACATAGTCAGCATAGCCGGTGCCGCAGCTCCGTGCCCTCGCGCGCCGCCACTATGTTGTCCCTGAGCAGCTCTGCGTTGCGCGCGTACACCTCCTCGGTGGTGTTGCCGCAGTGCGGCAGCGCCAGCACCTGCTCACGCGGGCGGGCGGGAGCACACGCAAACACGTGGTAAACGCGGGCGCCATCATTTGGGGTAGGGATGATGGAATAAAAACCCACACAGGGCCAACCACATGGTGCCTTCATTGGAGATACCAGGCAAGCCGAGCGGCGACCTTGCTCCAGGACTGACAGCTGCGGCGCCAGCCAAACGGCTCTACTTGTAGGGCTTGGCAGCGGCCGCAGCGGCGGCTACGCAGCGGCGGGCCACGGGGCGCTCGCACCTTGGGGTGCTTGTACAGGGGAGCCTCCGGGTCAGCCGGCTCAACCGTGTGCACGTCCAGCCCCACGCCGCCGAGCCGCCCCGCTTGCAGCGCCTCCAGCAGCGCGGCGTCGTCGATGACGTCACCCCTGGCCGTGTTGACCAGCAGCGCGCGCGGCCGCATGAGCGCGAGCTCGGCGGCGCCGATCATGCCGCGGGTCTGGGGGGTGGAGTGGCAGTGTAGGCTGATGACGTCACTGCCGCTGAGGAGGGCCTCCAGGTCGGCCCTGTGTATCGATATGACAGGATGCATAGATTTACCCATTAATGATTTAGATATTTGTGGCCTGGGTGCGTTTGCGCTGGTGTTGAATGAGCTTGTCACAATTAGCATGATAAAGAAAGTTGTATGAGAGGGGTGGATTGCCGGTGACAGGGGGCCGAAGGAGGGATTCAAGTGTTTGGTGTCGTGGAGAATGCCCAGGGACAGAATCTGATTTGAACAGTGACGCTGCTGACTGGCATGCGCTGCCGCCGACTGCAGGCGCACGCCTGGCCAGCCGCAGACAGCAGGCGCAGAGCCCCGCGGGGCTGCCCGGGCTCGCCTGCGCGCGGCTCGACAAAGTGCGCCATTGTTCTCGAAAGCGGCCGGCAGGAGTGATCAGAAGTGCGGGGGGCGCCAAACAATCTGATGGCCTTAAGCGTCCCGCAGCGAAGTCGAGTCCACCCACCTGGACGACTTCGAGCCGACGCCAATCACGTGCATGCCGAGCCCCCGCGCGGCAGCTGCCAGGCAGCTGCCGACCTGCCCCATCCCCACGATCCCCAGCGTCTTCCCGTGCAGCTCCGTGCCGACCGGGTCGCCGATCACGCGGCGGGCGAAGGCGGCGCGCACGTCGTCCGCGCGGCGCGCCAGCATGAGGATCAGCATGAGCGCCACCTCAGCCGTCGAATGGCAATTCAAGCCTGCACAAGTGAATGATTCAATCCCAGACGGGGGTGGGGGTAAGGACTCCGTGTGTCGGAGGAAAAGGGGAGGGGCGCTGGCGGGGGGAGGGGGGGTGGCAGGACGTGCACAAACGGCGACAAAGCGCCATCGTGCGTGTGCTCGCACGCGCAAGCGTGCAAGCGCGAGCGTGCGCGCGCGTGCGCCCGCACCCGGGGCGATTGTGACCGGGACGCCGCGTTGCCGCGCCGCATCGACAGCGATGTTTGCATACCCCGCCGCCGGCTGCGCTATGAGCCGCAGGTCCGCCGCCGCATAGATGGCCGCCGCGTCCACTGGGCCAGTTGTGGGTATCAGCACCTGGGTGGTGCCGTCAGAGGGCGCTCATCGCAAAGCCACGGAGCAGGCCCGGGGCGCGCGGCCGGCCCAGCCGGGCCCGAGAGGCAAGGCTGATACAGTACCGGATGGAACTGGAAGCGCCGAGCGCGCGGGCGCGGCCGCCGATCGGGGGTGTGCGCGTGAGGTGCGGGCGCGTTGGAGCGGCTGGCATGGGGCCAGCGGCGCCACCCTGTGCACCTTGGCGTCGGCGCACTGCTCGGACAGCGGCCGGCTGGGGTCCAGCACCCGCAGCGCCGCCCAGGGCGGGAGGATCCGCTGGAGCCTGGTGATGTCATCATGACGTCACGTAACCAGATATCAAACGGGGCGTTCACCGTGGATAGACAAGGGGCAAAAAAGGGCGGCCGCGGCGGGGGAAGCCACAGTCTAATGAGCCAAACCCCGGCGTGGTTGTCTCAGCAGGCACCCAACCCCCTGGCCTGCAGCGGCCGGGGGCTCCTCAGGCTGGCAGAATAGGCGCCAGCCATGGCGCATAAGGCCGCACCTTTCCTTGAGGGGCAGCCAGCCGTCGTAGCACCAAATGATGGGCCACACCTCATCCTGGGCTTCCGGTTCTGACCCCATTGCTGCCTGCTGCCGCGGCTGCCGCGGCGTTCTTGGCGCCCGTGCACAGGGCCCGCGGTTGACCGGGGCCGTTACAAAGTGGGATGTGGCTGAAGTGGCCACGGCGTCCAACGCTGTGCGCGCCCAATCGCCGCCGCCAAGTTCAGGCGCCCGCTCTGGATACCAAGACCCACGGGTGCCAGCCCAAGTGCAGCTCTCGCGCGATGTGCGTTGCCGGTGCGCCGGTCCTGCTCCGCCGGGATGAAGCTGCCGACGAATGGGAAGTACCACTATGTAATTCGTTATATCAGGGACGTCGTACAGCGTCCGCCGCCACCTGCAATGGCGAAACCAAGAAACCCGCCTGGATGGCCGAATCTGATCAAATATGTGCTTTAGCTGTGTAAAAACGAGGATCCAACAATAAGCGACATGAGTGGTCACTTCATTCGCGCGGTTCGCTGTGCAAAGTGCGTTCCTACCTGGTTCCTACTTGGGTTGTCAACAGCAACAATGACTCAAGCCATCTGCATCAGCGCTCCTGTCACTGCCGTGCTGCCCCATGCCGCTTACAGCAACAGCCACAGATAAGCGCCTCTACGGTCAGATAAGCGCTACTACGGTCAGCAAAGCTGCCGCGGGAGGCCACCAGCTGCTTCAAGGGCCCTGCACAGTAGCATTGGGGCGTGGCTGCCGTTACCAGATCAGCGAAGGTGCCGCCTGGGCATACCGAGGCGCTAGCGCCAGACTAAGGATGAATGGAGTCAAATGAGATGGTTTAAGAAGTGGACACACAAAGCGCATGATGAGCCCGGGCTTCCAAGGGTTGCTTTCGTGCGCGGCGCAGGATGGCGGGGCCGCTCCTGCCAGAGACGCCAGGCAGACAACGCGCGCAGCCACAGGCCAGCCCAGGCGCAAGGACGCCCGTGCCCCCCGCAAGCGCCGCAGCGCCGCTCAACGCGCCAGCACACGTGGAAAGGGGGCCGCCGGCCGGCGGCGCGGCGCTGCTGCCTATCGCAGGCGCCGTGGCGGCGCGTCGCGCGCCTGTCAGCGCCCCCGCGCAGGCGACTGCTGCGCATACCGCGGTGGCGGCCGGCGCGCCGGTATGGATGGCGCCCGCAACCCCCTCAACCGTTGAGCGGAGAGCGCGCATTCAAATGGTGACAGAGATCCCCAAAAGCACAGGCGCCGCGCCGGCGTGGGCATGGGCGCACGCGCACGCGCGGCCACCGCAGCTGCTTGACACATTAAGCAGCGGCCGCAGCCTGTACGCGAGCGCGCACAGAGGCCCGCGCCGCGCCGCCTCGAAAGTGCACCGGCGCTCTTTGCCCCGATCGGTTCGGGGTGCAGTGCCGCTGATTAGTAAAAACAACAAATCACGCTCACTCGGGCCCCGTCAGGCATATACACCATCGGTGGCCCCAATGCACGCTCAGCCGCTCAGCCGCTCAGCCGCAGGCTCCGGGACGCCGCGGCCGACCGCCCACGCCAGACGCCACAGGGCCTGCGCGAGCGGTGCGCCCCGCGCGCCGCCGCCGTCGTGCGTGGTCGTGGCCGTGACCAATGGCGCGCGCGCGTCACCGTGCCGCGTGCGTGATTCGTGTTTTCACTTCTCAGCCGCAAAGCCCTCCTCGCCGTCCGCCTTGCGGAGGGTGCCAAGCTCGGTGGGGGCGCTCGTCTTGACAATGGTGCTCTGCGCGTACAAGGCCGCGTCGACGCCGCGCTCCTGCAATAGGAAGGGTCGCGAGGAGATGCGATGCGTCAGAACAAAAAGAGAAGGGGCCTCGGGTCGACGCGCGGCTGCCCCAAAACCAGGCCCGTGCCGACACGCCGAGCCGCACGCACGCCGCAAGCAGTCCGCGTGGTCGTCCGCACAGCGCCAGCTCGGCGCCCCCTCTCCCCGGAAAGATACCTCGACGGGCGCCGCCGGCGCGGCTGCTGCGCCGCTTTGCCGCCATGCCGCCCCACCCCACGCCGTGCCACCATAACCTCAACCAGCAATCTCTGTGCGCCTCGGCCGCTGACGGCTTTTTTCCATCCAACCAGCTCTCTCCCGCACGCACACACGCACATGCATACACAAAACACACATTCAAGCACACACACGCACACTCGCACGCGCACACACACACACACACACATGCCATGAGCGACGTCCAAATCCCGCCCCATCCAATCCTCCGCCCCCGACCCCCAAACAAGCCACGCCAACGCCCCAAACGGCCGCCCACCGTCTCCTTGGCGATCTGGCCCTTGATCCAGGTGTACGTCATCCTCAGGCCGTCCCTCAGGCTGACGGTGGGCTGCCACCCCAGCTTCTCCAGGATGAGCTCGTTGTCGCTGTTGCGGCCGCGCACGCCCTCGGGGCCGGGGATGTGCTTGATGGGCAGTGCCTGCGCAAAGGTAGGCAGAGGGCAGGGCGGGGTGGGCGGTAGGGAGCGCGGG